TAGTTTTCCGGGGAAAGGGGGGCCCCGCTGCCCCTCTTTGCGCCTTAATAGATCCGCCTCTGTGTGTGGAAAGCATGGCCTGAGCTGTGTGGTTTGGGGAGGTAGGCAAATGGTTTTGAGGAGGATCCTAGGTGGTGAGGTGACGAGGAGGGGAAGAGGAGAAGATATTTGTGGTTTTCTCAAATATTTTATTATTTTATAATTAATTAATTAATTAAGCTTAAATTTTATTTATTAATTGTTGATTTCTACCATGATGTTATTATCTAGTTTTTTTTTAATAGAATTCCATTATTGTTTCAATTATTTTTTTAGAACATAAATTAACAAAAATACACTTAAAAATAACTTACATAATATTATTTTAAAAAATATATCAGTTTTAAAAATGTAAGAATCCTTAATTAAATTTAAATATTACAATATTTATTTTTTAATCCGACGCATCACAAAATGTAGGTCGGTACTTAATTCAACTTAATCCAAATGAAGACAGTTCCAAGACAATTGGAGGCTACACATTAAGATTTTTCATTTCAGGTAGTTCCTCAGATTGACAATTTGCCTCTTGGTCTTGGTCTTGGGCATTTTCTTTTTCCTCACCTAATACTTTCCAAATGTTGTCCAATGCATCTTTTGCTGCTCTGTTTTGTGCAACTTCCTTTTTAAGGCTGTAAGTACCTCTTCCAACAATCTCATTGTTTATGAAAACCTCAACCGTGTGGCTTTCCTCCCACAAATCTACAAACCGAAGTTTTAGATTGTTCTTTTGGCATATTTCATAAAGCTGTGTAACAGGATGCGTCTTTATGGTCCCCGGATTTATTATCGGCTCCAACAAATCCTTAAACGCCTAGTTTTTTGAAAAAAAAGACAAACATTCTAGTGAGAATGGTTTAACAACAAACATTTGAAATAAATATGAGGACATGAGAATGCAGACCTCCCACACAGTGTCAATTGAGTTACAGTCCATGAAAACTGCTCCTATTGTTGATTCAACAATGTCTGCAAGGTTCTTTGGAGCATCTATGAGACCATTGGAATGCAGTGGATAATGCGAAATCGCTCGGGTGAATTCTCGAATCTGAAAATTTTCAACACAACTGTTGATGATAACAAATCCAAAATTTTGAAGTTTTGTTCCTTTGAAAGAAAACAATTAGGTTCGCATCAAACAATGTGCAGGGTTGGCAATAGCCATCAAATTAACAAGCACAAAATTTCAAAGTATCTAGCAAATTCTAGAACCCAAAAACATATAGATACATATAAGATTGTGGCTTGTGGTTTTTTGAGACTCCCATGCCTTAAAGTCATGCCGTATAAGCCAATATAATGCAGATTAAGACAAGAAACCTAATCGTTGAAGATATTAAATATACTAATCACGGCAATTAAATTGACTAAACAAACACATCATAATCCAAATGAATATTGTCAACAACTAAATGTAATCTAATTCAACTTTCCTGGTTGATACCTACAAATGCACCATTAGTACTTATCAAAATTGACGTTGATTATCATCAAAATCCATGCCCAATAGAAAATATAATATCAAATAGTTTTATGCTTTTACCGCCCTATCATCACTTACTTGTTCTTCAAGCAAGGGTTTCTTGTGCCGCAGGTAGCGGTGCAACCCGTGTTTGATAGCCACACGTGCAAGCTTCTCGGTATCAACATTGGCCGCCCGGAGCCGGGTCAGCCTGCCGGGTGGCAAGTCCGGGTACAAATTGTATTGTTCTCTGCTGAACAACAAATTGAGCACAGCGTCCCCAACATACTCCAAACGCTCATAAGAAGAGGCAGAGCGCTCTGTGGACAGAAAAGAAGAATGTGTAAAAGCTTCTTTTAACAAAACCTTGTTGTTGAAGCTATAGCCTATGATCTTCTCCACTTCTTCAAGATTTGGCTGAGCCTCCTCATCAGTCAACGTGGTTGACTTTTCAGCCTCTGAAGACAAGACTTCGCTCATATGAAGTGTTTGATATTCTTCTGATTGTGCTCCCATGGCTGGCATGAACAACGGGTCATGAGAGGAGATATATATACAGATTAGATTATGAAGCGTGGAGATTTGCTGCAAAGCACTTGGTTTATATACATAAATGGTCGGCACGCCTTTGTTTTTGTGATATAATTTGGAATTAATTAACAAAATTTGGCAATTAGATTTGGAATACATTAATACTAGGATTAGGAGGCTGGGAGCTAACAAGGAAATATCATAGGCGGCTTTGGCAATATATGTCGGTTATTGGTGATAAAGATATGCGGCCGCTTGTTTGCTTCTGATTTTTGGAAAGTATTGATGTGAGAATAAGATGGAAGAAGAAAAAGGGTTTTGCTGGACGGCAGAAGAGGAAACTGAATTTTGACTCATTTGGTTACAATGGATTATCTTCTCACAAAGGAGATATCGATTACTTAAGGATATCCAACATCTTAAAAGTTGTGATTTCTCTTTAAGGGAAAAACGTTTCTCTATCGATGTTGTTATCTCGTTTTCTTAAGGTCATCTCGTAAGTTGAAATAAATTTCAGTGCTTAGTTACGTTAGTTATATTTATATATAATCGGCACATACACTATTTTTTTATTCTCCTTCCATATACAAATGTGTGATCGCATGAAGTTTGTTGCTGAAGCGGTTAACATTATTTATTCCTCTAAATATCGCTTGTATAAAATAAAAACATTACATGAGACCTACATTTATGATAGGAGGGAGAAGACAATCTTGAATTATGAAAATCATTTTTGTCTTAACTAATAGTATCTTAGATAACATGATTCTCGAATATAATGCCTCCCTTAGTGTATGAGACTTTATTTTTGGAGTAGGTGAATCGCATTAATTGTTTTTGGTCACCAAACCTTGAATTATGACATTATCACAAGCTGGAATTTGTATATTGCCAAGTTGCCAAGCTGGGATATTTTTCTTTTCTTCTCCAAATGGATTTGGGATTTAGGATCTTAGATTTTTGTCTGGTTTTGGATACCATGCCAGCAAGTCAGCTTACCAATTCTAGTAGAGCACATCACGGTTGGAAATTAAATGGCTAAATCATACAAAATGGCCCTGAACTATATTCATTGGTCACCGGGTAAGAGTTTGAGCAGTGAAAGTATACAGAAGGGGCATCTAGAATGGCCATTTGGCTAAGGCCACGGGTCAAAAAATCAAAGTGCAGTCTTGTATGGCTCAAGAAATAGATTGAATAAAGAAAACGAAGAATCTAGAAATGACATCACATACTTTTCAAACTCTCTAGTCAAGTCATAACCATCATGATTCATGTTGCTTCTAGTAAATAAAAGATTTCGATAATGAAAATCAATCATCTTTTGCTCTCAACTTTTGCATCGAGCATCATTAATAGTTTCTTTAATAACTTTGAAATGCTAAAATAGGGGAGTCACATCATCAAAAATCTCTTCAACAGCCTTGTCAAACTCAGTCAATTAAAAGTGCAACATATTTCTCTCTTTTTAGGACTGATAAGTTGACTTTAACTCTTCAAAATATTTAATTTTACTTTAAAAAAAAATTTATTTTGAAAATATTAAAAACTTATATAAATAAATAGACATTTTTCACATGTTTTCATATTTTTTATTCTTTTTCATAACATTACATTAATTGAATTGAAAAATCTGTTCTGGCATAAATTATCAAAGTAACAAATAAACCTTTTCAAATTACCCCGTAGGACAACAAACTATAATTTGAAGATTAGTTTACTACAATCATTGGAGAAAACCAATCGCCAATCACTAACCCAGTCCCAATCAAATCATTATCGGAGGCTTAGCATTTCAAGATGCACAGACATTTTCTTCGAACCCCCAAAAAAGAAGAGGGAATCAAACCCTGAAGAACCAAGCTTTGGGAGGCAGGGCTGCCTCTAAACTGTTCGATCCCTTTCTTTTTTGACATGTTGGGGCCTGCGTGTCCTTGTGGTTTTTGTTTGTAGTTGTACTCTTTTCGCATCCAAAGAAAAAAAAAAAAAAAAAAACACCTGAAGAACAGCAATTAACAAGTAGAAGACTTCCCACCATCTGATGGCTTTCATATTTTTCTTTTGCACGCAAACCATTTTCACAAGGAAAACCTGTAAATCCATATGCTCTGTTTTTCTTTTTGGTTTTATTACCACCATAATACGCTTCCTTTTTTGGAATTAATGCAAAGAATTCATGTTTTCGCATGAGAATGGACAGATTTGTATATGAAAAAATAAGATGGTTTTCTTCTTGCTCTTGCCACTTGCACTAAAAACTTAACTTCCCGAGGGCAAGATTTGAAGGAACTTTTATCTCTTCATTTGATACATTAAGTGACATATATACAATTTACAAAAGAATCCCACGATGCTCAATTACATATGCATGTACAATGTCTATGATATCTCATATTCGGTGTGTTCACAACAAAAGAAACTTCCTAATCCTAAACACAAGCAACATTGCACTTCTAGATTTCTACCTTCCCGACATCAGATTGACCAGAGCTTGATTTTCATAGAAGGATCCAACATCCCAATCCTCAGTTGAGGATGAGAGCGTCATCAACGCAACCACGATAGATCGCATACTTGGACGCAGGTCTCTATTCTCATGCGTGCATGCTTTGGCAAGTTGGGCCATCTGTACCAGAAAATCACCATAAGTCATTTTCACACTGATATCTAGAGATAAATTATAATGTTTTTTTTTCCCCTTCTGAGAAATTATTTCACCTTGCGAACTGAGTCAAGTGGATAGTTGTCTCCAAGACGAGGGTCAACCAATTTCCGGAGGTCTTCTTTAGGATCGGGTTGATTAAGAACCTCCTCAAACTGTAAAAAGTAAAATTACAATAAAAATATGCTCATGTGCTTCGTGCAATGCCAGATAGAAACCCAGCATAAACTTGGTAAGAGCTAGATTGAATTATTTAAGTAAAGAGATGGCAAGAAAACTAACCAAACCAACAAGGCCTCTTGATTCAGAGCCAGAACTATCTACCCTCACAACAGCTTCCTTGGCGGAGATCAATTCGTAAATGACAACTCCAAATGCATAAACATCTACTTTGGGAGAAACTTCGCCATACTGAGCGTATCTGTACGCAAAAATATTAGGAGTTAACCCACATTTGCAGAGACTGTAGCATACTTAAATTTGCCTTTTTCCCCCATCTTAGAAGGAATTTATTGCATCAACATACAGCCCAACATCAGACACGAAACACATCAAAATACCGACTTTCAAGGGAAACAAATTGGGCTGGAAGAACAGAACCATTCTCGCTATTCCAGCAGGATTCTATATTCCCAGATATAAATGAATATCTCAGCACCTAAAGACCTCTTGCATCTCTGACAGAAGCTGGAGGGGCAAACTAAAGACCTCTAATGACATTTGACAAAGTAGCAATCAGCCACTCTGGATATTTATCTTACAATTACATATGTCCACTAAAGAGTGCACAATCTTCAGGCCCCTTCAGCCATCGGCTTACAGGTCAGGGGATGATGGCAGGAAAAAAAAAAAAAAGGACAATCAGAATAGCCACTCATTGAGCTTACGATAGGTCATTCCAGCAGATTTGGTCCCCCCAAATTTCAACAAAGGCAATCTGTTCAGGATAAAAATTTGCTAGAGATGTAGCAGATAAAGAGTTAAAAGAACATAGAAAAAATATCTCACTCTGGCGGCATATATCCAAATGTTCCCACAAGACGTGTGGGGAGTGATGTACTTCCAACCTCAGTCAGTTTAGTTAATCCAAAATCTGCAACCTGCAATAAAAGAGAAATTTCATTGCAACAATGTGAACAAGCTTTCAAAAGTTCATAGTGGAAATATAGGCACTCAAGTAACCTTGGCATGGAAATTCTTGTCTATCAGTATATTGGCTGATTTTATATCCCGGTGGATATAAACAGGAACAGTATGCTCATGAATGTATTCAAGACCTCTTGCTGAATCTAGGGCAATCTGCACTCTATTAGACCACGGTAGCGGGTCCCTCCCTGGAAAAAAAAATTAAACGGTATTATTACCATTGTCCTGCATACAGAAGCACTAAGAAGCACTTAAATCCCCATCATGCACAGCCTAACCTGAACCACGTAGATGTTGGCTTAAGTTTCCGTTCTCAATGTATTCATAGACTAGGAAAAGAGAGCCCTCAACGCAATAACCAATCAAGCGCACCTGCATTTATTGTCTAGAAGATTAGAGATAATCACACATCTTCGAGATCCATTATGCAACGGCTACAAGTACTGTAGTACTAGTATAACCTCACAACTAGATTAAATGGACAACTAACTAAAAATTCTTCTCAGAGAACATTAAATTTATTCATAATAGTATTTCTATAAATGCAAAATCAGAGTTAAGTATAAGTATAAGTTCATAATTCTTCATAATTCTTCTGCAAGATTCATGTACATTGTCATTGTTTGGAAAGATAAGTTCATTACCAGATTCAAATGATGTACACGAGTCAAAACATTTAATTCGGCAAGAAATTCTTTTGATGCTTGCATATCCATCTTCTTGATTGCAGCTTTCTGCAAAGAGAGAGTTATAGGGATTGGACTTCTAGGAGAAGAAATAAACAATTACAGCTAATGCTCGCACATTAGCTCATAAATAGTACTAGCGAATTAGCAAAGTAAAATAGATGCTAATGTGCATTAAGGCACAGTTTCACAACTCCCTGGATCAGGAAATTGGAGTAGGAATGTTGTAAAGGGCAACACTTTCATCTTTAATCTAAGCAAATGAAAAAAACATTGTCTGACACTTTGAGCTAGTTTTCACTCATTTGATAAATCTCTCTTCCAACTTACGTGTTCAATTCCCTTCGACTAGAAAATTCAGAGCAAAGTAGATTATAGTCACAGGAAAGTAGTTTTATGTATTCAGCTATGTCCTTTATGAAGTAGCTCTCAAAAACATGCTAGTTATTTGATTATCTATCAAAACTTTCACTTTCTTCAACCTAAAAGAA